AATTATTAGAATGAACTATAATAAAGTATCTTAAATCTGTGGTGGTGGTTTCTTCAAAGTTCTTGCACTGTGATTGCAATTTTTATAATTATTTTCTCATTTGTGTACTATGTTGTAGAGATAATATAATGTTCAGATTTTTTACTGTAAGGTTTTCAGTATACAACACTAACATCCTTGCCGTATATATGTGGGGTGAAAGAGAAGGCCTCTTTGCAATAGTGAGATTATACTTGGCTGGCCTTGAAATAGACATTGTTGTTGCTGATTCAGTTTCAGAGAGAACTTCCTTCTTATTGACTTCTTGTGTTATAAGCAACTGTACAAATCACCTGTGTGTATGAATGACCTCCTTTCAACCAATTGTGGGTTTATGAAAGTTTATTCTGAACTTAACAGTTTACATACTTTATCCTTACCTTCTGTAGGTACTGTCTAACTGTATGGTAATTGCATATCTAAAATACTGTTGTATTTGAGTGAGTAAAATATTAAATAATATAGATTATATATTAGTATATATATATATAGTATATATATATCCTTTAGTATATTTAACATGGGTAAATCACTTGATTTTTAATAGACTTTATTTTGTAAGGAAATTCTAGCTTCACTGCAAAATTGAGCAAAAGTGCAAAGAGTTCCCACACACCCTGCAGCCCCACACAAAAGCACAACCTTCAGTTACCAGTAATCCTCTACCAGAGTGGTGGTGCATTTGTTGCTGTCATTGAGCCTAGGTTAACACATCATAACCACTCAAAGTCCATAGTTTTTAATAGAGTTCACTATTGGTTGCTTAAATCTCTTTTTAAAGATGTGATGTTGCAATATTATTGTTTGTGAAAGATCAAGGTGTGCTCAGGTCTGCCAGTGCCTGCAACAGGATTTTGAGTAAACATTTGATGAATAAATGAGTTATTTCAAATTCTTGATAGAATATGTTCAAAACATTTTGCTTTTACTTTTTATTTTGTGCAGGTTCTTAAGCCAAAAAGAATGATTGCTGTTAAAAAGTAGGATAGTTCTGGTACTTCTCTTCTTATTGTGGATGAAGTAGGGTTTACTATTAAGTTAATACTTATGCTTATGAGTATATAAAATATTCATATGTATTAATTTAAATTATTTATTAGTATAAAGGTTTTGATTATTTGAAAGGATGGGTTAATTGCTTTGTGTAGTATTATGTTTTCGTATTTTTCCTTTCTGTCATAGTTCTCTTAATTCTTACAGGGAATTAGAAAAATGAGAGAGTGAATGTACCACCCAGATTTAATGTCTAGTGTATGCTAAGGAATACCAGTACCAGTACCAGCCCCTTTCACTTTCAGCCTCCAGTGCTGTGAACCATCTCAAGGTTCAGCTTTCTCTTTCTGGAGTGTCTTTTGAACTTATAGTTCCATTTTAACAATTTACTATGAGGAAGAAATCTAAAATAAGAAAAAATACCCAGTTATATCTTTTGTAATATTATTCATAAAAACTGAAATTTTAATCTTATTTTTTTGAGATGAGCAATGTCACAAAGAGTCTGATTACAGATTGAGGTTGCCTTGTTCCTTTTTGTAATCAAAGGAAAAGAGGCTTATATGTTGAAAGGAATGTTATTTAAGAGGCAGTATTTTCTTGCTCAGGTCTTGAAATGCTACTACTGGTAATTGGTCTTCTGGATTTTTGGAAGCCCTATGTTGAAACTTGAGTGTCCTTAGCCTTAAATTTGGGGCTGGTGCTAGTCTCAGAGGTAGAAGCAGAGCTAGAGGAAGAACTGCTAAGTGGCGGCAGGCCATTTTCATTCAAGGAATAGGCACTCCATCCCTGGGGCACTCATATGACAGCCGATAAACTTGAGTTCAGTAAATTTGAGTTCCTACTATGTATCACGCCTTGATTTAGGTATAGTGATATACCAATGGAAGTAGAAGTCCCTGTTCTTGTGCAGTGAGAAGTTTGGAAGATAATGAATGGTGGCTTCTGGTTTTGACCGACACTCTCAAAAAGAAATAAATTGAACATAGAGAACAAATAAACGACCATATGATCCACAACCTCAGGACCCAGAACTTCAAGATTAGAAAACAACAGCAAGCCTGTAAGTGCAGAGTGTAGTCCTGGGGAAGCTTAAGAGAGAATTAAGAGACTGGAAAAGAGTACAGGTAGAGACTTGATTGAAAGACAGGCACAATCATTATAGAAAGAGAAAGCTGGAGCTTGATGTGGTTCATAGCACTGGCTATGGAGAAGGATGTTGGAAGTGGAATGGACTGGGACCGGTAGCCCTTACTTCTTGGGGAGCTTTTATCATATAGAGAAAAGGAGGGGTGCATGATCATGAGGGTAAAGAATGATTGAAAAGAGAAAATTAAAGATCTCATGGAAATGGAAAGAAATAAAACATCTCACTTTCTATCTTACATTTCTCTTTCCAGCACCAAACATGAAAACTATAGAGAGGGGATAAAAGTGACAGAAGACAGGACTCTCAAACTAGGAATGCAGTCCATTAAATGAGTAGGAATAGAACAAAGTAGACCACATCTATATGAATCTGCTATAAAAGTGAGAAAATATAGTGTATATATTTTAGCTTATACAATCTCTGTAAAAGCCAACCATGACTTAAAGGAAACTATACACAACAGTGTAATATGAATTAAATATTCTCACTCACTAAAACAAACAAATAGTTCACTAAATTGGAAATCTAAAAGAAATCTTCAAAAACCAAAATGAAGTGAAATGAAAGTCAATTGAACTCTTACAAAATAAAGGAGAGAAGACAAAATGAAAACTAACTTGTAAGGTACTTAAAGGAAAAAAATAGATGAAAGTGATAGGTAACCTCACATATTAATGTCTACATTAACTATAAATGGCCTGACCACATCAATTAAAAGTCAGAGATTGATAATGGACTTAAAAAGTACATGACCCATGCCAGTTATAAAAATGCACTTCAAGTATAGTGATATTGGTAGAATTTAAAAATGAGTCATGACGAATGGATTAAGAAAATGTGGTATCTATACACAATGGAATTTTATGCAGCCATGAAGAAGAACGAAATGTTATCATTCGCTGGTAAATGGATAGAATTGGAGAACATCATTCTGAGTGAGGTTAGCCTGGCCCAAAAGACCAAAAATCATATGTTCTCCCTCATATGTGGACATTAGATCAAGGGCAAACACAACAAGGGGATTGGACTGTGAGCACATGATAAAAGCGAGAGCACACAAGGGAGGGGTGAGGATAGGTAAGACACCTAAAAAACTAGCTAGCATTTGTTGCCCTTAACGCAGAGAAACTAAAGCAGATACCTTAAAGCAACTGAGGCCAATAGGAAAAGGGGAACAGGTACTAGAGAAAAGGTTAGATCAAAAAGAATTAACCTAGAAGGTAACACCCACGCACAGGAAATCAATGTGAGTCAATGCCCTGTATAGCTATCCTTATCTCAACCAGCAAAAACCCTTGTTCCTTCCTATTATTGCTTATACTCTCTCTACAACAAAATTAGAAATAAGAGCAAAATAGTTTCTGCTGGGTATTGAGCGGGGGCGGGGACAGGGAGGGGGGGAGTGGGTGGTAAGGGAGGGGGTGGGGGCAGGGGGGAGAAATGAACCAAGCCTTATATGCACATATGAATAATAAAAGAAAAATGAAAAAAACAAAACAAAACAAAAACAAAAACAAAAAAATAAAAATGAGTCATGAAAGACGTACCATGTAAACACTAATCAAAAGGAAATTGGAGTACTTTACTAATTATAAGACAACATACTTTGGAGCACAAAACAAATCAGGAACAAGAAGAGCATTATATATTGATAAAAGGGTCAATTCACAAAGACATAGCAATCTTACAGCTTTTTTTTTTCTTTTTTGGTGGTACTGGGGTTTGAACTCAGTTCTTCCCACTTGCTAGGCAGTTGCTCTACCACTTAAGCCACACCCCCCAGCCCAAAGACATAGCAATCTTAAATTTATATGAAGTAAGTAACAGAGCTTCAAAATACAAGAAGCAAAAAAATAAAACTCTAGAGAACTCAAATGCTAAATTGATAAATATAAAAATTATAGTTGGGATATCAATACTGCTCTCTTGAGGGGTGAGGATAGGTAAGACACCTAAAAAATTAGCTAGCATTTGTTGCCCTTAACACAGAGAAACTAAAGCAGATACCTTAAAAGCAACTGAGGCCAATAGGAAAAGGGGACCAGGATCTAGAGAAGAGGTTAGATCAAAAAGAATTAACCTAGAAGGCAACACACATGTACAGGAAATTAATGTGAGTCAACTCCCTGTATAGCTATCCTTATCTCAACCAGGAACACTTGTTCCTTCCTATTACTCCCTATAATCTCTCTTCAACAAAATTAGAGATAAGGGCAAAATAGTTTATGCTGGGTATTGAGGAGATGGGGGGGGAGTTGGAAGGGGCGGAGTGGGTGGTAAGGGAGGGGGTGGAGGCAGGGGGGAGAAATGACCCAAGCCTTGTATGCACATATGAATAATAAAACAATAAAAAAAAATTAAAAAAAATACTGCTCTCTTTCTAATTGGCAATTTTTATTCAGAAAATCAGCAAAGATGTAGAAGAACTCAATGACACCATCAATTTCAGAATCTATTGATATTTTTAGAACTCTATCAACTTCAGCAGGATATGTGTACCATTTATAAAGATTAACCATATTCTTAAAAAACAGTCCTCATTAAAACAAATCTAAATAATTTGAAAGAGTTGAAATCATGCTCTTATTATGTTCTCTGAATGTAATAGAACCTATAAAATGACAGATGACATATTTGGGAGAGTCCTATCTAAATGAAAACCTTGTTCCTCTAACCAAGATTCTTAACTGTTATTACTATTAGTGTGGAACTTGGGAAAATATTTATCTTTCATTTGACAGTGTGCCAAAATGATAATGAAGCATGTAGTTGATTGTTACCCATGATAAATTATTTCTCTGTCCACTTTATTTTACAGCTTCTCTATTAAAAGGACTAAAACATGCTAACATAGTACTGCTTCATGATATCATCCATACAAAGGAGACGCTGACACTTGTCTTTGAATATGTGGTAAGTTAAGTAAGAATTCAGGCTTTTAAAACATGAATAATATTCTTACAGTGTTATCAAAGAGTTTTATTTTTGGATTTCTATACTGAAGTAAGTTTTATCTGAGTACTTGAGATATAATTTTGCATGAAATAGTGACCTTATAAGGGATTTATGGATATTTATCTGAACAGAATGTCCAAAAAAATGTCAAGTTGAACTATTGTATATATTGTCTATTTATGGTCACTTGTTTTCTAGAATACATTATCATTTTTAGACTTACAGGGTTAAACATCATATGATGGTCACCATCAAAGGAAGGTCAAAGATGATAAAAATGTTTTTCCTTTGAATTGTAACTTAGTTTCACAAAAGCATCTTCATGAAGATTTTTTTTGTTTTGTAGGAAAGCCTGATACTTACAATTTAGGTTTCAAAGTTTTCCCCCTCAGTTGGTATTTCAGCTATTAATTAAGACTTCCAATTTGCATCGTGCACAATGTAATGATCTTATTGTGTTGAGAGTATTACTGCTAGAAGACTTGGACTTTAACTCATAATTAGTCTTTCTTCATTTCCCTTAGAAAAACGTGGTATTTGTATAGCAGCACTTCAGCATTTAACTGTGGAATCATGAAATGTAACCATGATAATTAACATCCCAATTTTAACAGATGGATCTGAGAACATGTAATTTATAAGATACAAATGACATTGGTGCAGACTTTTTATTGAGAAGAATAGCTATTGGTATTGTGAATGCATTAAGGTCCCATTTTGTAATTACCACACTCATTTAAAAAAAAAATTGAAATAGTTTCCATTTGCCTTAAAAAGTATAAAAGAGTGAATATTTGAAACATTTTTATCTTGCTAATGTCTGCCTGTGTCTGTTTGTCATTTGAAAATTGTTGTCTCATGAAGAAGCCATTCATCTTGTATATTTACATATAAATGATAGCTACATTTGAATAATATTGTAATGCGGCTACACGGACAGCTAGAGCTGAACAGTTGCATATATTACATGCTACCAAGAATGGATGCAGATTCACACATCAATGCAAATATAATTTCTTTTGTTTAATACATGATTTGGAGTCAATAGTATATTCAGCTGATTTAGACTTGGAAGTTTTGACTCAGATTTTCCAACATGTCTAATTTATATATTTCAATGAAATCTAAATTTTTCTAACTTTTCTGATGTTTTAAAGAAAAGGTATTTCAAAACTGCACTTATTTCCCTCCTCAAATTGGATAACTGAACTAAGAGGAAAAAAAATAGTTTAGGTACCAAAATTATTGATATTGAAACAAACAACAAGGATGTGAAATATGTTCTCCAAATCTTAAAAGAAAATGAAATATATTTGTGACACTACAAAATATTACAATCAAATATGATTGATCACTTTATATTTTTTGGAGTTGCCACAAAAAAGGAAAGCAATTCTCTGCCTTGTGATATTTGCTGATTAAGACTGATTTTTTAAAACATAATCATTGTTTTTTGTGTGAGTGAAGTTTTCTTTGGTCCCAATCCTTGGGGAGATGTTCCAGGTTGACTTAGTTCAACCACATAATAGCTTGGATTTATATGGTACTCTACCAGTAACATTTTCTCCCTAACTTTTCTGGGGCGGTAAGACGTGTTATAGATAATTCTTTCAGAAAACAAACAACCTGTGTTAATCATGCTATATGACCACCCTGACTTTTCTTTATTTCTCCTCTCAGCTTTTATATCCTTCCCTTCCCTCTGTTTCTTGCTCTTTTTCTTATCTTCTCTTTACTATTTTCTGTATTGCTACCTTTTTGTTCTGTCTGGTGAAGCACTTTACCTGTTATACCTAAAGTCGTTTTTTGCTTAAGTAAAATATTTTTCAGAGTTTGAAAAGGGAAGAGCTTTGTTCTATAGAATATTTTGAAAGTTTTGCCAGTTAGGGTAGGGGAGTGTGGACTCCTGAGCAGGATTAGCCTGACTGTGGTAATTTCCCAGTAAAAAATAACTTGGCTGAATATTGTCTAAAGTCTTTATTTTCTTGCACTTCTTTCTGATTGCTTATTCTTTGTACACATGCTGATACCTCAAGAAGAACTATGGTTCTTACATATTTTAGTGGATTAATCTGATTGTTCTTCTGACAGTGTCTAGCAGCAATGAACTCCACCATTTTCTTGCATGTTTCATAGTAGTGGGAGGCAACAGCGATTTTGCAGCATGCCTTAAGCATGCCTTAAGAATGAGATCAGATGTTAGTGGGAAACATAGAGTGGGAACTCGGAGAGTACTGCAGGTTTGGCTTGAAACGTGAGGGATGCAAAACAGGAGTTGAAAAAATGTTCAAGACAACTATGTCTCCTGAAAACCGCCACTGTTTTAACTTGTGGAGTTATAGGCAGGGCTCTGGCAAAGGGGTTTATATTCATTGCAGTGTTTGTTGTGCTCCGCACCTGCATGGAACTCTGGCCATAACATCTACAAGGGAGAGTCCAAAGGATTGGGGGATTGAGTAGCTTTTCCAGGGTTTTATACTGCGTAAGGTAGATGCATGCCTATCTTACTCTGAGTTGTAATCAGAATATATTTCCTGCTCTTTTTTGCAGTTTTACTTCGATGGAGCCTTTGGTCAGAAGAGGGAAGGGACTTTCCTTTTTTTTTCTACAACCCTGTTTTTCTGTACTTAAGATCATGAGTCCAGTTAAATTTTAAGTACAGTTAAACTGCTTTATAATGCTTATAATTTTACCAACTTGTCAAAAACCTAGCCATTTCCACTTTTTAAAGTTTCTATTGCCTCGTTATTTATAAATTCATATATAAGATTACTGGCAACCATGTAACAATGGAAATTTTCATTAGAATAGTGGAATTCTAAAATCATTTATGAGCTTGCCACTGTTACTTGCACTTTCAGCATGGTCAAAAATTTAATAAACATGCAAAGGAGATGCATTGATTCAGAGGAACTATGGAAAAATAACAATGACATATATAAAATTTCAAATGAAAATTTGAGTTGATCAAGTAATTGCTTAGAAATGAAGGCAGGCACTCTGCATCTATCCCAATAATACTTCAGAATAAAAGGAAAAGTCACATACTGAAAGGTTAAAATTAGAACTGCTACTAAACTATTCTAAATGGTTTATTTCAATTACAAAATGTGAAAGTTTTCATAAAAGCAAATTTCCAAGTTACTGTATTGGCCCATATTTTCCACATGTATATATACACACACACACAAGCACAGAACTTTGTTGTTTAGCAAGTTTTAAAATTCATATCAAAGATTTCAATGTAAAATTTCATGACCTAATGGATGGGATTACCATATTTCAAAGATGTTAACATCAAAGTTATTTTCCAAGTAATGTTGATTTTCTAATTCTATATAATTAACAGCACCTCTTTTTTTGAGGGATCTGACATAACAAGTTAAGCAGTTTAGGAAAAATCAATACCCCATGCTCATTAAAACCCTAGATATGAAAAAGAAGCAAAAAAAAAATTAAAGGTTTGTTAGGCAGTATTGGATATTTCCTTTTGACTTCAGAGTTAAGTGTTTAAGGGCTTTCTGAGACACATCTGTAATACGAGTCTTACTAAATGTGGGATTCTTATTTATGGTAATGTACAGACTGTATAAATATATTTCTGTTCCGTGCCTTAAAGAAGAGCTGTAATCCAAGATCTTTTATAGTATTCCAGTGAATGGTATTTTAGGTTTCATAAAAGTCGTCTGAGGGCCACAGTAATGAAATAAGTGATGAAAATCTAGTGATGTGGAGGAATACTCCAGGAAATGACTTTGGAGGTAATTATTAAAGCATTTCAGTGGGTAATAGAGTATATTGGCTCTCTCTTAAGTATTAGGAAAAGCTTCTGAAATATTCTGAAATGTAGATTGCTGCACAGTGTGTAGATAGGATGATCTGAAGCTTCAAGGTTGGGAACATGGTGGGCAATGTGTTCCCTCTGTTGCATCTGTCTCAGTTACGTGACACAGGGATCCCGTGGTACATGCTTTTTTCAGCACTGCCCTCCTCCAATAGTTGTCAGATGTAAGGGAGCATCTTTAATCCAGGAGTGTCTCAGTTAGCTTCGTAAGTAAACTGGTTTCATAATCATCTACCAAATTGTTAACAGCTACCTTTTTACCTGCATAGGTTTAAGATATGGGAGAGAAATATAGGAAGTAGCACAGAAACATTGATTCCAGAATATATGTAATGTTAAAGTGCTGACACACTTTCCTTTTACTTAAACAGGTAGCTAAGTGTGTGTGTGTATTTTGTTTTTGGTGGGCCTGGAGTTTGAACTCAGGGCTTCAAGCTTGCAAAGCAGGAACTCTACCACTTGAGCTACCCCTCCAGTCTCTGTGTTCTGTGTACTTATTTCTCTAAAAACAAATTAGTACCATATTACCCTATTTAACACCATTTTGAAAAATTTAAAGCATATTTCATAAATGGAAGCTAGAATGTTAAAATAAACATGATTATGAAATTATACATTTCCATTAAGCTCATAACTATTCTGTTTTATTTTAAATTACAAAAGAACAAACCATGTGGAGCATCATTTTCCTCACTGATTTAATAATTACTGATAAAAAGAAAAGTTATATAGAGTGGCAATTTCCAGAGTATGAGGAGTAGGGGGAAATGGAAGGTTATTAAATGAGTATAAAGTTTCAATATTACAAGATATATAGGTTCTAGAAATTACTGTGAAATATAGTACCTAAAATTAACAATATGATATGTGAGCTTGAAAATCTGTTAGGACAATAGATCTTAGGTTAATTGTGTTTACCACCAAAACAATAAAAGCAAAGGGATGCAAAAAATTGTGGGAGTAGATATTTTTATTACTTGGTTATCTTGGTTGCATATTCGTGTCATACACATGAACCTATGTTCAAATTCATCAGATTGTGTACATTAAATATATGTGGTTGTTGTATCAGTTACAGAGCAACAGAAGTGTACAAAGAGGAAGGAAACCAGTG